CCCAAATTATTTTGCTAAATACTTGTGGGCTTGCTTAGTTATTAAAATCAAGAGAATGATTTAATGGAGTTTCTTTATGGAGATAGGAAATGTTTGGTTTTTGGTGAAAACCCTGGACATTCAGGGATTTTTGGAAAAATGTGGAAAATGTCCATACAATTCCTTTCCATCTTGAAATCGAAGTGATTGATTATAAATTTCATACTGTGTTTGCAAGAATGGTAATCTTCTATATATATATATATTGAGATGGAGGAAATTGTGGTATAAATGGATGCTTAATGGTGGGCTTGTGAAGAATAATGAAGGAAAGAAAAAAGAACTAATGACTAAGTTATATATGTGTACAGGGCACACTTCAGGAGGGGCAAGCACTCAGTTGTAGCACTGTGAGTAGTAGTACTATAGTTGTACGTTCAATTATCGTTAATGATTTTCATTGTTAAGATTATGTTCCTTGCAAGTAATTAAGTTAACATTATGTTGATTGGGAAATCTAGAGGCATTAGTGAGCAATACATTCTGTTTACTGATGACGATGAATACTAACATTCTGTTATTTACAAGATAGCTTACGAACAAATGGAACGTATAAGCAATATGGAACTATGGTATCCACGTATCTCTAAACCCATTCAATCGGTAAAATGTGTTTACCTTTTTGTTAATAATTATCAGGAATGTCCTGTTAAACTTAAGTCAACTATGTTAACATATATAAACGATCAAACAAAGGTGTATGCTTCTATATGCTACCGGTGAATAGATCAAGTGAACTACGCCATTCTTAATGAATAATTAGCTAAGACCACGGATTGTTTTATACGTTAATACTTGCTAAGTATTATGATAAACAACGGATTGACTTACGGATGGCTCAACCTAAAGACAAAATTAAATATCGATGGTATGTATGGTTTGGTCTGTAAGACCTATTAATTACTGGTATGGAACAAAGTACTACTTGGAACTAAGTGCTACATTGTGAGCCACCTCTAGAGTCCATGTGAGACACCTCTTGAGTCCATACATATATGAACTAGGCTTAAAGCCAATATGGGCCTATGGCCATTCTGTATGATCTATTAGGCAAAGGCCATTCTGTATTTCTGGTATGGAGCAAAGTGTTATACGGAACTAAGTGCTGCAATGCGAGTTACCTCTAGAATCCGTACAAGCCACCTCTTGAGTCCATACATATGTGAAAGTTATGAGGCTAAAAGCCGTTATGTGCAAATTATGAGGCCTATGGCCATTCCGTATAAGTTATTATGAAATGAAACAAAGTGCTACACGGAACTAAGTGCTACGATGTGAGTCACCTCTAAAATCCGTGTGAGACACCTCTTGAATTCATACAAATATGTCCAATGGCTTTATGCCATATGTTCAAGGCCTTCATGCCATAAGTTCAAGGGCTTCATGCCATATGTCCAAGGGCTTCATGCCAACATGCTTAAAAGTTTACTGCTAATATGTTTAAGGGCTATCGCCACTCTGTTCAAGGGCTTAAAGCCATTATGTTTCAAGATGTTATGTTTCAAGTCATTATGTTTCGAGACTGGGCCTAAGGCCGTTATGAAATTAGTACAAAATCAATTAACCTTATGTCCTCTTATCTATGTATGCATTGAAATGTTTTATAATTCAAGTTGAGTATTGAATTATTATGTACTATTATTCACTGAGCTTCGCTCACTTTGTGTTATGTCTGTTCTGTAGGTAATCACTTGGGAGTCCATCTTAACCCTTAATGCTCACCTTTCAGTTGTCAACCTCAGTATGCCCAGGCTCCCAAACCAAGCTCATGCATTTATGTGAAGTTTTGTTAAAAAAAAAAAAAATTAGTTTGCACTTTAATTATTTATCTAAGGTGAAGATGTATGTATGTATGTAACCCCTTTCTTTACCAATGTTCGGTTATACGCTCAATTATGTATATGGGTATGTATTTAGACAAATAGCTCTCACGTATGTGATCCTGACATGTTAGTTTTAGCTCAATGGATGTTATTCTATGTTACTTTGTAATATTAAATGCTTCCGTTCAGGCCCCGTAGAGTATGTATATCAGGTTAAGTGTCCATTTCTACATAGGTCACGCCCGAACTTTTAGGGGCGAGTTTGGGGTGTGACAATAATAGTATTCATATTATATAATATTCTCTCAAAAAAATATTGTATATTATAATAAATTATAAATATTATAATTTTTATGTCTAAAATAAAAATAATTTATTTTATCATATATAATGTAATTTATTTTATGTCTAAAATAATTTTTATTTATTATTTATATCTTATTTGTTTTTTTTAACAAAATTTGTTATTCCTTAACTCTTTTAACTCATCTTCATATAATAAATATATTTTAAAAAATAACTATTTAATGTATCCCCGTATCCGTATCCAAATTTGGATCCATATCCACATATCCCCAATTTTTAATTTTGAAGTGTTTGACCCTTAGATATGCACCCACACCCGACACCCACACCCGAGTCCGTGTAACATAGGGTCTTGGGACCCACATGTATAGTCGGTACTGACAACCATAAAGGTCAATATCTTGTGCACAAGTAACCATGGTCTTGTTTTCCCCAGGCGAGGGTCGTATAACATAGACCACGATATTGTTTTTCTCAGGCAAGAGCCATATAATCATAAGTCACGATATTATTTCTCCCGAGCGAGAGCTGTTGGGTATACCTCCTTATTGGAGTGTGGGACCCAATTGGTTTCGATCCCGTGGACGTACCTCACATTGAGGGAACCACGTAAAATTCTTGTGTTGCTTTTGATTTAATTTTTCCGCATTAGTTTTTATTCCCATTGATTGATTTACTTGTGGGGAATCACATCGATTTTTCCTAACAAGAGCCATATAAACATAAGCCACGATATTATTTCCCCCAGACAAGGGCCATGTGAACTAAAGATGCCACAATTACATTTCAGAAAATTAGACATTCATTCATAATTCACAAAATAGCATTTCATAAACCAAATCATATCTTTTCAGTCAGAAAATACTTATAGTCAAACATAGTTTTACAGAGTTGTTACTCACAAATAGCTTTGATAGTAGAATGGACAAAGCAAACAGATCAGATAGTCTATGGCGCGTGACCTACACAAACACATAACAATGTATATTGAAACACACGAACAATTAACTCATTTCTTTTCTATCTTGGTGCGTTTCTAATTTTCATCCTTACTATTATGCCTTATGTAAGGTTTAGGAATGCCTAAAATGCAATGTCTAAGATGCAATAAGGACTCTCACTCAGATTTTCTATCTGGAAATAGGGATAGAAGGCCTTCTTGGGCATGGGCAAGTATTCTTCAAGGCCGTGAGCTTCTCAAAAAGGGGCTTCCTTGGCAGGTAGGCAATAGTAAGTCAATCCTTTTCTGGGATGATAAATGGGTGCCTCAATCACATAATTTCCAAGTTCTAAACCCAAAACCTAGGGACTGCCAAGTTCAGTGGGTGAGCGATGTGATAAATCAAAATTTACAGGAATGAGACCATGTTAAATTGCAAGAATTGGTTGGGCGCGAGGAAACTAGCACTATCATGACTATCACAATCTCCTCAGTTGACCAAGAGGATTCTCTTGTTTGGCATCACACCAAAAATGGAAATTTCGAAGTAAGAAGTGGGTATCAGATAGCTATGAGGGATTCTCAGTTAAGGACATCAAATGGGGCTTCTACCTTAGTCCAGCAGCCTACTAAGTTTTGGAAACTGCTATGGTCTCTCCCAGTTCCTCCCAAAGTCAGAAACTTCTGGTGGAGGGTGTGTAATAACAAGTTAGCTACTAAAGAAAACCTTTTTCGCTGTAAATGTACTACCTCTCAACGCTGTCCTATGTGTGGTTTGTGTTCTGAGTCTATTGAACACTTACTCTTTCAGTGCAGTTGGACTAGGCCTGTGTGGTTTTGGGAGTGAACTCGGCATCTTGTCAGGGCATGATTCTATTTTATCTGCTGCAAGTTGGACTCAGTCCATTTTTTAGAGTTGTACTAATGATCGGGATCGAATAGAGTGATTGGGTAAGGTAGCGACAGTTGGATGGTGTATTTGGAAGGCACGCAATGACTGGGTTTTCAATCAATCTGAAGTAGACCCTATGCAAGTCATCAGACAGGTTTCAACTTTCTGAAGGGAGGTCTGCTCGGTGCCTTCTATGGAAACTCACTCTCCTGCAAGTGTAAATAGCTCGGATCAGGTCTGCAACAGGTGCAAATTGTGATGCTAGCTTTGCCTCCAAAGGCAGGAAGACTACTCCGGCTGTGATCCTGAGGGATTGGCGAGGTAAATTAATTGATGGTGTAGTTTCTACAGTTCACACATCTTCTGTCATTCAAGGAGAAGCGTGTGCTGTCAGATTAGCGTGCTTGTTTCTTCAAACTCTTGGACTCTCAAATGTCCAAGTGGAAAGTGACAGTAAATCAGTCATTGACTCATGTGTCTCAGAATTGGTTCCTTCTTGGGAGTGTCTTGCTTTCATACATGATAAATGAGCCAGATTTCCTCATTTTCCTTTTCCTGGGTGCCTAGAGAAGCTAATGGTGTGGCCCACTGGATTGCCTCAGCAAAGATGCAGGATACTCTTCCCATAGATTGGTTTAGGAATCCTCCTTTGTCTTTGAGGAATTTGCTTTTTTCTGACTCTCTTGTAGCCTGAGCTGTTTCTAGTTCCAAAAAAAAAAAAAGCCATAAATTTTTGTAATATCAACTACAAAATTTTAGACATTTTTATTATGCGAATTTGTAACGAGATTATGCATTTTATGATTTATGTTACGAAATTTTGTGTTAAAATTATACATTTTTATTATAGGTTGCATATGATTTGCACCCCTGAAGGTGCACATGGAAGAATTTCCCCTCACTGTACAAAGCTAGTGTGAGTGGGGTGAATAAATATACAAGCAAGAATGATTCTTTACTGAAATGGCAAGACTATTATGAGAATATATTTGGAGCTCTCTTTCATCTGGGAATATATTTGCGTACAATTGTTCTGTCTTGCCCTAGGCATTCACCAATATCATAATATTTATGGACAACAACTCTTCAAAAACTAATCCAGAGTTGGGTTTCCCAGGAAATCTTGGTTTGCACCGTCACTCCACTACGTGTGAGGATCTCTCATTTATTTACAATTTCTATCACCATCCATGTGGGGTTTTGCAACACAGTTGAATAATGATTCTCCAAGTTGTTTGTTTTTTAATATATATATATATATGTGTGTATATATCCATATACATGTGCATATATGTGTGTATATATAAACATTTAATATGATTACAATAATGGGTAGCTAAAATATTGGGTCTTAGATTATTCCCATGTTGTTCTAGTTCCCCATGTAAGTTTATTCTTATATGCTGGATTTCTGAATCAAATTATTCTATGAAATCAATTTTTCCATTTTATGCTGTTAAATCTCCCTACATTATTTGGGTTTTTTTTTTTTTTTTTTGAAGACTTGGGTTCTGAGAGTTTTGGGGCCCACTTTGGTAATCTTGATACTATATCTTTAAGCTTTGTATTGTAAGCTTCACTTGCTTGTTGCATCTGTTAACAGGTGTCTGATTTTTTGAAAATTTCATGAAACAATGCTAATCTGAAATTTGCTGAATAATCAGTTAGGCAATTGCTGGCTTGCATAGAAATGGAGACTGGTCTATTCATTAAGAGAACATTGATGGTGGTGTTATTTTGTCTGTGGGTGCCCATGAAAGTCATGGCTAGGACTGGAAATGCTAGTGTTTCTTCCTCAAAGCCGAATGTAGTGAATATTGGAGCTCTATATACCTTGAATTCTGTTATTGGACGATCAGCAAGGCCAGCAATTGAAGCTGCGGTTGATGATGTCAATTCCGATTCAACTGTTCTTGTTGGGATGAAATTGAATATTATTTTGCATGACACGAATTGCAGCGGCTTCCTTGGAACCATGGAAGGTAATCTCTGAATTCATACACTTGATTGACAAAGAACTGTCTTTACTTGAGGCTACCAAAACAGAACATGTTTTAAGGATTAGTTCGTTGCCTTTGCATAATAGGAGTTCGCTACTAATTATATTTTTTTGTTGCGTATCGAGTTTTTTGTTGGATATAGAGTCTCAGTATGAGTTTCTTATAACTGCACTATTTTCTGAAGATCTATGCTTTTAACGGCATATTCTTAGTCTTCTTAGAAGACTAGTTATAGAATTGCGACCAAACTGCTGACTTTGTTGTACATATTTTAGTCTTGATCTATGGATGTTGTCCTACTAAAACCGTTGACAAAGAAGCCTTTTGATGTCTTTGTTATTGTGTTTTTTTTATGATAACTTGAATGCCAAGTTTGGCATAAGGGAATTTTCTGTTTGCTCTTGGTTTAGTTTGGTACTTTCAATTCTTTCTCTTTGAGTGGTATTTGTCCTTTGGATAGTGTATTTGTTATGTATTTGTATGACATTCATTCCTAAAAGTAATGCCTGATGATTCTTAGATATATATGACAATGAAGTTGTGCTAACATTCATATGAACTGTGGATTAAAAGCATGCATAAGTAAAATGACATAGGGTAGAACCCTCAAGAACTGATCTAATTAGATATTACTCCTGTGAAAGCATAGTTGTTATCAAATCATTAGTTGTTTTGGTATTAATAAGAGAAAAATATATTAGGAAACATAATATAGGAAACTGAGGGCTCTCTCTCTCTCTCTCTTAAGCATTAAAATAAGAACTGAGAAATTTTGACAAAGTTGTCTTTAATTACTTATGTAGCTTTGCAATTGATGGAGAATGATGTGGTTGCTGTAATGGGCCCTCAGTCCTCCGGAATAGCTCATGTTATTTCTCACGTTGTCAATGAACTTCATGTGCCGCTCCTGTCATTTGCGGCAACAGACCCAACGCTTTCGGCATTGCAGTACCCTTACTTCCTCCGCACTACACACAGTGACTATTTCCAAATGTATGCAATAGCTGATCTGATTGAATTTTATGGCTGGAGGGAGGTAGTCGCCATCTTTGTTGATGATGATCATGGAAGGAATGGAATTTCCGTATTAGGTGATGCCCTTGCAAAGAAGCGTGCCAAGATTTCTTACAAGGCTGCCTATACTCCCAGAGCCTCTAGAAGTGACATCAATGACTTGTTAGTTCGAGTAAAAATGATGGAATCCCGAGTTTATGTTGTTCATGTTAATCCCGACTCTGGCTTGACAATTTTTTCTGTGGCAAAGTTGCTTCAGATGTTGACCACTGGCTATATTTGGATTGCTACAGATTGGCTTCCTTCTGTGTTAGATTCATCAGAATCAGTTGATTCTAACACAATGAATCTCTTACAAGGGGTTATTGCACTTCGCCATCACACCCCAGATTCTGATCTCAAAAAGAGTTTTACATCTAGGTGGAAAAACTTAAAATATAGGAACACCTCAAGCTTCAATTCGTATGCACTCTATGCTTATGATTCCGTTTGGCTACTTGCCCGTGCACTTGATGTTTTCTTTAGTGAAGGAGGAAAAATCTGGTTCTCCTACGACCCTAGGTTGCACAACACTAATGGAAGCACATTGCACTTGACAGGACTTCGTATTTTTCAGGAAGGCCAAAAACTGCTCCAGATACTTCTTGGAATGAATTTCACAGGTCTAACTGGTCAGATTCAATTTGACTCAGAGAAGAATTTAATTCTTCCAGCATTTGATATTCTTAACATTGGTGGGAATGGGTCTCAGAGGATTGGATACTGGTCAAACTATTCTGGTCTTTCTGTCATTGCTCCTGAAATATTGTATATGAGGTCCCCAAATACTTCTATCAGTAACCAACATCTTGACAATGTAATATGGCCTGGAGAAACTACAAAACAACCTCGGGGGTGGGTGTTCCCTAACAATGGAAAGCCTTTGCGAATTGTAGTGCCTTACAGAGTAAGCTATTTAGAATACGCAACCAAAGACAAGGGTCCCCTTGGGGTGAAAGGATATTGTATTGATGTCTTTGAAGCTGCAGTAAAATTGTTGCCCTACGTTGTACCACACACGTATACGTTATACGGTGATGGTTTGAGAAACCCTTCCTACAACAATCTTGTGAACGATGTCGCCGAAAATGTGAGTAATTTCTGTTAATTATACTCAAAATTATGCTATTGGTATGAACCAAGTAGATTAAAAATATATGTTGATTGGGTTGCTTTAAGGTTTTTGAAAATATTGTCCTGATCTTCTTCCTTATTCAGAAATATGATGCAGCTGTGGGAGACATTATAATTATTACAAACAGGACAAGGATTGTAGATTTTACGCAGCCTTACATGGAATCTGGACTTGTCATAGTTGTTCCTGTCAAAGAGAGAAAATCTAGTGCTTGGGCTTTTCTCAGGCCATTTACTGTGGAAATGTGGTGTATCACTGGCCTTTTTTTCCTTTTTGTCGGAGTAGTTGTTTGGATTTTTGAGCATCGAATGAATGATGAATTCCGTGGTCCACCAAGTCAACAAGTTACAACAATCTTCTGGTTAGTATCTCATAGCGCATATACTTCATTAAAAACCCTCTGATTTATGTAGATTCACAGATGATATTTAAAACCTCGGTGATTGATCTAATGTTGCCTGAGTGACTAATTTCCATTATCAATCTCTTGGCAAATTATTCAATGAATGCTATAAATAGTAAGATATGCTTCTTCTTTCCTTTTTTTTTGGGGGGGGGAGATCAAATAGAGCGAGTTTTACAGGTTCAATTGACTAGTCTTAACTATAATGAATCATAGATTATATTTTGTATAAAACTGATGCGGTTATTTAAGCATCCTTACCTGACACTCTATTTGCTTTGTGGATGTCAGAGGATTACTAAGAATTGTTTCCAATGTTGCAGGTTCAGTTTCTCAACAATGTTTTTTGCACACAGTACGTTGCTTAATCTATTGTGTTCACTTTTAATTATTGCATCTTGATATTTTTTAAGTGGTGATACCTTAATATTTCTCTGCTTGGACTTGAACACAGGAGAGAACACTGTGAGCGCCCTGGGACGTTTGGTGCTGATCTTATGGCTCTTTGTAGTGCTAATTATCAATTCAAGCTACACAGCTAGCTTGACATCAATCCTCACGGTGCAACAGCTGGCGTCAAATATTGAAGGGCTTGACAGCTTGATCTCAAGTACGGATGCAATTGGAGTTCAAGATGGATCATATGCATACAATTATCTGATTGAAGAGCTCAACGTAGCAGAGTCTAGAATCAAAACATTAAAAAACCAGGAAGAATATGTTGATGCCCTTCACAAAGGTCCAAAAGCAGGCGGTGTAGCTGCAATTGTTGATGAGCTTCCTTACATTGAGCTCTTATTGTACAAGACCAACTGCAAATTTAGAACCGTGGGACAAGAATTTACTAAAAGCGGATGGGGATTTGTAAGTATTTTTTTCAGTATAATCCTAAACGAGTAATTATTCCTGCAATATCTGGAATGGCTAAGCCAAACTTCGATCAAATAAGATTTTAAGGTGTCAAGATAATATCAATAGAAAATAAAACCCGTGAGATGTTACCAAAATATATCCTTGTTGCCTAAATTTAATATTTATTTTATGTTAGACTTGAGTTTTGGCCAAATCTTATATGCTTCTAGGCTCTAGCATTTATGTTACTTTTTTTTAATTTTTTTTATTAAATAGTGCTTTTGTTATTCAGATCACTATGATTTTATTTCCAAGAAGAAAGTAAGATTGCAGAGGTTCTTGCTAATATTGTATAAACTTGTCTGTGTGTAGTGAGAGATTTTCTTGGTAATGTTATCTTTAGGTTATGTTTGGAATAAGAATTTAAGTGGGAATTTTAGGATAGAAAGGAAAGGGGAATAAAAATGAACTTTTATTTCATTCACTTTTCTTTCTTTTTTTTCTTTTCTTCTGGCCCACCACAAATCTTTGATCCAAATACACAGCCTTAATGTACCATGTAAGTTGATACGTTGGCATAAAGGTCCTATGATTATGATGTTTTAATTTCCTGAATCAGGCATTTCAGAGAGACTCTCCTCTTGTGGTGGACTTGTCAACTGCTATTCTACGGCTCTCAGAGAGTGGTGATCTCCAAAGAATCCACGATAGATGGATATCGCTCGATAGGTGCTCTGCGCAAGTCAACCAAGCCGATCAAAACGTCCTGTCTCTCAATAGCTTCTGGGGCCTATTCCTTATTTGTGGCACAACATGCTTCCTTGCCCTTACAATATTTTTCTGCAAGTTATGCTGGCAGTATCGCAGGTTCACCCCGGAGGATGAGGAACAGGATATGGATGAGCCTGAATCTATTAGGCCTAAAAGCACATCGCGAATGACTAGCTTCACGGGTTTTGTTGATAAGAAAGAACATGAGGTCATGGAATCAATTAAGCGAAAGAGTGATAGCAAACAACAAGCAAGCCAACATTCTCATGCGTAGCTTGGTTCACCTTCTAAGTAAATTTTAATCCATGGGTTGATTGCTTTTTCAAACCTCCTGCCCTTGTTAAGTATATTATCAATACAAAATCTCATATTCTGTTATACATGTTTCAACCCCTTGATACTGAAAGTTAGGCAGCTATGATGAAAATGTCATGTATAGGATCTATGGAGAAACTGAGAAAAATTTTCCAAGGCCATTTCTTTTCTTTTCTTTTCTTTTCTTTTCTTTTTTTTGTTATACAATTATGTTTGTACTTTGTAATTTTATTTTCTGTTTAGTGGTGGATGAGAATGATATATTAGCTGGTTGTTGTGATTCCCTCTGAACTTAAAATTTCTAAAGCAAAAACAAAAATGGGGCCATGAAGCTGTTGGCCTGATGGCATTTGGTTGGCATCCCAATTCCCAAGTGAGTTTGGACTTTGGATCTTGAATTCACCGAGGGATTTGCAAAGAAACAAAACGAAATGACGGTGAAGGGAATATTGAAAAAAAGAGGGAAAAAACTATAGAATTTTCCGATCCAAATGCAGCCTTAAATTTAAGATGGGATTTCAAACCATCCCAGGTAACTCAATCTCATGTTACCAAAAATGAAATAAGAATGGTGTTTATTATCACCATTAATATGTGCTGATGCTGCAAAGTGGTTGGGATTGTGGGTGAGATAGGTAGGCAAGTGACAATAATGCTCTAATCAAGTTAATCTTCAAAGAGACTTGGAACCATGTTGTAAGTAATTTCAAGTTAATCTTCAAACAGACTTGGAACCTTGTTGTCAGTTATTGAATTATCAATGTGTCACTTACAATGATATTGATTCTCATCACTAAGCCAAACATTATATGCTTGTCATCCATACTAAATTATTTTCCACACAAAGACCGGTTGGCAACTGAAATTTTGATTTTGATCTGTTTTTTATAATGTATTTAATATTGTACTTTATATTAATTCTAAGTTTTGTAATAAAATTAGGGGCAAAAGCATTTATAGAACAATTTTTATATTTTTTTCTTCATTTTTGCCTAGTGTGGGATTCTACAAGTTTTGACAAAAAAATAAAAAAATCTATTAAAACCTTATGTGAATCCTTTTTCTACATCAAACCGAGCAAAGAAAAAAAAATTAAACCAGGATTCATTTATTTTTCTTAACCAACAAAATTGAAAGGTTCAGCTTAATATTAATTTTTTTCTCAATCCCGACTTAACCGAATAGTTTGCACTCCTAATATATATATATATATATATGAAAAACTCAATACAACCACTATTACTACTTTTATAAAATTAGCCTAAACTTAATAAGATGCATAAATAGGATATCACATCTGAACAGATATCAGTAAAATATAATTTTATCAAATTTTTAAGCCCATTGCATAGTAAATCCTAAATATCCACAGTGAAGTTGCAAACCATGTGTCCATTAAGTCCATATATTTTAATAGTAATCCCATTCTATATGAGATTTGCCTAATTGTAATAATAAAGTATTTTAATTCCACCACTAACCCCATTTTGACTTCTACTTAGTAACCATACAGTTCTAATTTTTATTTTTATAGCTTATGAATATGATATGAAGCTCTTGAACCATATGATTCCATTAAACAATTATTGGAATAGTATAATCCTGAAAACATGTGGGATGTATTTATATGATTGGTCAATTTTTTGGAAAGAAAAGCCAAATTCCAATCATAAAAGTTTGAAGCTACCATAAAATTATACTAATTAAAAATAGAATACTTTACAATAAATGATGATCACATGTCTTGATGAGGTTAAGCTACATTTTTCCCAATTATTTTAGTGGAGCACAAATCTCTTTTGGCTTGTTTTATCTACACCTATCAATATTCTCTCATTATTCAGTTAATTTAATCAAGCAGTTAGAAAATTACATTTTTAGACGAAAATCCTAAAATCAAATCTTTCAATACATAGCATTACAAATCACGAGACATTGCCACCTATGAACCCCCTTCTTCCTTCGCCACTTCCTGCCCATCTGCATCCCTCCACCATCAGCTCAAACACAAAGCAACTATGAATTTGATAAAAAGAGATACTCTCCCTTGTAATGACATCTATTCTCCAAAATAAAATTACTTGCCCTAAGGCTTACAAAGTTTATTTATAATAGAACGAGATCCTAATTAAACTAGAAAATAAATTGAGAAAGATAATGCGTGCTAATCAAGCCTAAATCAAAGGAATTACGAAAATTATCAAAAATGAAAAAATTGAGTTAAGATCAAATCTGAAAATCATAACGAAAAATATATTGTTACAACCCGAACCCGCCCCTAGAGGTTTGAATTATAACCGGCTAATAATCATGAGATTACCTACGGCCTTAGATAAAAATCAAATCATAATTAATTATATGGAGCCAGAAGCGGAAGCAGAAATATAATATTTTTTCAATGAGTTTGTGCATAAATGGTATGAACAAAAACTTCATAGGTATTAATAACTCACACTCATACATACATAAAAAGATTCCATACGGCCAAGATCATTCATACATCATTGTCATACAAAACCAGAACTTATATATGGACAAGGTCAAACATGACCAACAAAAGGGAAACAAAAAGATCAAAAGAAACAAAAGCAGAACCTTCATAATATTAACGTTTCATTGATTCTCTTTTACCATACAAAAGATGACGTATGCATGTATACATTCATAAATCCTATATCTTGAATCTATAGCATATGACACGTAATAATCACATAAAACAAAAGGAAGTACAAATAAGTTAATGCCTTAATGGCTACATATTTCCAAGTCAATGTTTGGGAACAACAAAATGAGTTAAACTCCATACATATAAAGCCCAATGCTTGTACAAAAAATATTAACGCAAAAGAACAAAAAGAAGCTCTCGGCTCCGAGGTCCTTCCAAGCTACTTCCTTGGTGAAAGTATGTCATCAGCACCTGAAAATTGTTTTCCGCATAAGGTGAGCTAAAGCCCAGTAGAGATACTTGAACACAATGTATGAAGCTTAACAAAGTCATATAGTGAATGCTTATGCTTGCCATTACCAAAACATTTCACTTTCTCTTTCAAAACAATGCATGCCATAGTTATATATCAACTCATAAAACAATACCTTTTTAAATCAAGAAACAGGGCAGTGGATACATAACACTAGGAATCTCTAAGTACGTGTCTGCTGGTAGGCAATACAAGCACTACTCAAGCCATTTTACTAGTACTAATCGGAAGGATCGGTACCTAACTACGCGAGTTTCTGAACTTTCACCAAGGACACACAAGCCAATATAATAAAACCACAACCACACCCCCTAACCAAATTCACCATAGTATTCACATTTTTTTCTTAAAAACAATACATTTTCAATGTAAGGATCTGAAACAACTGTTCAATGCAAAATATATGAGTACATGATTTTCATTTAATCTATTCCTTATGCAATTTCTACAACAATCAAAGTTATTCTCCACTGATAGCCCAAAACAGATATCTCTACACAAAAGCTAAATTTCCATCAACAATTATAATTTTATAAATTTCAAAATGGAAGTGATAATACTTATCCAACTCCACTCTCATCATCAACAGATACATTCATTTTATCTTTTCAAAACTCAACATCTTCCCTTTTCATTCATAGGTCAAATACTATTTGTGACACCCTAAATGTTTAATTAAATACCACATAAATATTTATAGTTATATATAATTATGATTGCATGTGATGATAAATTATTAAATAAATACATACATAAATCTAAATTGGCGTTGAATTATTAAATATGAGATTAATTAGGAATTATTATTTAAGGCTAAATTAACACAAATATAAAATTTATAATACAAATTAGAGTTAAAGATAGTAAATAAATAATAACTTAACACCAAAACAAATAAAGAAATGAATAAAAAAGAAAAGGAAATGAAAAAAAAAAAATTAAGACACAAGTTGCCCAACAGGATTGTCAACCTCGGCCCAAAAAGAATAAATAATAAAAGCCTAAGCCAATATTGGCCCAAGCTAAACAAAAGCCCAAGTATATATAGATATATATTGGAGAGATTTAGACTTATCCAAATCTATGAATTGATTCACAATTAAGGCACAAATCTTCTAGCATCATAATGCCTCCATAGGGAGAGGCTACGTGTCATACATCACTGGGCTCAGAAAACAGTATATAAAGGGACTAAGAGTGTTGTGATTAAGAGAAAAACGGAAGAAAAAAAAAACAAAAGGAAATGGTGGGAAACCGAGAGAAGTATATAAGTTGAGAGTAAAGAAAGGAAGTTCTGATAGTAAAGTAAGGCTAAGGGTTATAATTAAAGTGAGTTATATTATACCTTGATTTACCATTATATGTTTTATGAATGTTTTGAGTTACCATAACTTATTTTATACAAGTTATATTTATTAAGTTATATAAATAAAAGTTATGTTTATAAACATTTCAGTTACGTGGATTACTTTCTAAACTCTATTACTTAAAAGGAAATCCATGGATATGTTTGTTTAAATTTTAGTATATATTTGACTATAACTTTATAAACAATTATGTTTTGTAAGTATCACCACGGGAATCCCACGCCTTGGGGGACTTAAATAGCCACTGGTCTCTGTTTGACCATTTTGTGGTCCTCTATTTGTCATGGATCCATTGACCTCTGTTCTGGCTGTCACTTCTGTAACTTCTGTTCTGTTCTATTTTATACCGTGGTTATGATTATTTATTTACATGATTTTCTGTATTCTGCCACTTTAAATAAATTGTCATTTTAAATTAAAATATGCAAATGTTTTCGCCTAACTAATTATCCATGATTGTTTTACACTCTTGGCATAATATTTCTCACCTTGCTGTGTGCTTATAGCTGTTACCCTTTCAAGTGACGAGATGTAAGAGAAATTCATAACCCCACGAAACGGAACCTGCTCATGGATTGTTGTCAAACCACTATTTTATCTTTCTTTTTTTTATATTTTTGCTTCCTTTTGTCTCTATTCGGGGCTGGTCACTGAATAATAAAATAATGAAAGCCCTAGAAATGTATTTCTTTTTTTTTGTAAAATGTAGTAAAATTTCTGTTTAACTATTTTATTTTCGCTTGCGCAACTTAATTTGCTACGAATAAGAAAAAGTTAGTAAGTCACGATTCCAACTCTAAGCCCCTGGGGTTGGGTCGTGACAAAGGTGGTATCAGAGCAACGGTTCAAAAAAAAAGGGGGGTTATAAGTCAA